TATCACTTGAAAGAAAAAGTTAAGTTATTGAAAGAGATGACAACTAATTTGTGACCGTTATCATTATTATTATACAAGTGTGGAAGAACATCAGATAGGAAATGTTCCCTGAAAAACATGGCTCTTCAAATACCTTAGTATTCTAAATATGGCATGCAACAGCATCATAAATCGGGACGGATTTTTAAACCACATGTTCGTGTAGTCCCATATACATATTTCTGTGTACAGTGTTTGTAACTTTACCAATACTGGGCCAAATTTCTTATCATTTTTATGATTCCAGAACCCTGCAGCACACACCAATACTTATATGCAAGATGATCAACCTTTTCTGATCGATTCCACACCGTTTTTCTCACAATGCAATCGCATGACCAGAACTCAGCTTTATTATCTTTTTGGTCAAGACATTGTCAATACGTGAGAAGGTCGACATCATGAAGAAGTCAAGGGAGGCCCTAAATAAGGAGAAATACTACATTGTCGATGATCTGACGCTGGCAGACCTTACAGAAAAGAAGAAGTACAAAAAACAAGTACAAGATCTGTTCATGAAGGGAACTAAACTACGCTTTTATGCAGGAGTTTGGAGGGGTGATGGAGGTGTTCCTTATTTCTCTGCTTAAATTTAGTTTTACTATAGTGCGACTTTAACTGACCACCCACTAGCTGGCTCAAGGACACAACTTTCTGTTTTATTTGATTTATGGCTTACTTCTCAGAAATGAGTTATGGCTCCTTGCATGTTATCAGCACATGTGTGCTCTTGCTCTCTTCTTCATTTTACCTCCTCTATTCCATTGCTACTAAAATTCTTCATGTGATTTGTGTTAGCTGTATTTTCACATTTTAATGTTTTTAGGAGTGTTTTGGCAGTTACTTTTACTACTGTTAACATTAATTTCTCTTAACATATAGTTTCAATTATGTTTGTATTTAATTATATTTTATTTTTTAAGACTTGCACCCATTCCCCGACCCCCTTTTCCTGCTATCATGCATTTTGTAGACACATTTTTGTTATTATGTCATGGACAATATATTCTTTGATGTTTCATGTAACTATATATTATGTTCAATATTGATGAATTGAATGAATCATTGGATGACAAAGTGGATTGTAAATATTATCTTCCTCATGAATTTAATTCAAGATTTGAGAGTGAAATTAATTCCTTTAGCTTATTACATACAAATGCACGAAGTCTTGTTAAAAATTATGAATATCTGAACATTCTGCTGTCGGCCCTCACCAAACCGTTTTCAGTCATAGGAGTCACAGAAACGTGGCTTAATGATACATCTCCATCTACTTTATGTAATATTGTCAATTATTCGATTGTACGTTCTGATAGAAAAACCGGAAGGGGTGGTGGAGCTGCTATGTTTATCTCAAACTTGTTAACATACAAAATTAGATCTGACCTTAGTTTGAAGAGTGATGGTACTGACTCGATATGCATTGAAATCAATATGGCTCAAAGGAAAAACATCTTGATATGTACAATATATAGGCCTCCGCATACAAATGTTGAATTATTTTTGGATGAGTTTGATAGGATGCTGCATAAGGTCAATCTAGAAAATAAGGATGTTTACTTGATGGGTGATTTTAATATTGATCTTTTGCAGGAAGATAATACTTTTCATAATATGTTACGATCAAATTCATTCAATGCCATGATTGATAAACCAACCAGATTGGCAAATAACTCTTCTACATTGATAGATAACATTTTTACAAATGTCACCAATAACTATATAGGCTCTGGCCTCTTGTATAGTGAAATCTCTGACCACCTTCCAATTTTCCTGATTTGTAATCATGTTCGCAATTATCCTGAGGACGAAAAGAATCAAGCTATGATACGTAAAATCACAGCTGAAAAAATAGCCATGTTTAATGACGAACTACTCAAAGTAACATGGAATGACGTGGTCGCATGTACTGACACCAATAAGGCATATGCACTTTTTTGGAACTTGTTCTCCTCTCTTTTAAATAAACATATCCCAATGACTAAAAAAAGATCGGCAAGAAATAGAATCAAGCAGCCATGGATAACTAAAGGTATCTTTTGCTCTATTAAAAAACGGAATAGATTATATAAATATAGTCTTCGACACCCAGGAGAGGAAAGCTTGAATAATTACAAATCATATAGGAACAAACTAACCACCATTATTAGACAGTCTCGACAAATGTATTTTGCCAAGCAGTTTGAAAATGCAAATGGAAATGCATCATCAACGTGGAATGTGATCAATCAAGCCCTCAAAAAACAAAAGAGTAAATCAAAGTGTCCTATTACCAAAGATAATAATACAATGGTTGATTCAAAAGAAATAGCAAATTGCTTCAATGCTTACTTTGTTGGGGTTGGCCCCAATCAGGCCAATACAATAGCTTCGAACGGAGTCGACTTCTCACAATTTCTTCAAACTCCCTGCAACAAGTCATTATTTCTCAAACCAACAAACTTGATTGAAATCTCGAATATTGCACGTTCTCTTAAAATAAGCTATGCTAACGGTCATGATGGGATAAGCACATATCTTTTGAAACAAGTTATAGGAAATATAATAACCCCACTGGTGCATATTTTTAATCTTTCTCTGACGACAGGTACATTTCCAGAAGCATTTAAGATTGCTAAGGTTGTTCCGATATACAAAAAGGATGACTCTTCCCAAGTCTCAAACTATCGCCCTGTTTCTATTCTCTCGAGTTTGTCCAAAGTATTGGAAAGACTTATATACAATAGGCTATATTGTTTTCTAACAGAAAATGACTTACTGAATCAGGATCAATATGGTTTCAGGAAATACCACTCAACCGATTTAGCCCTTGCACAATTATATGATAAGGTTTCGAATGCTTTGGCGTCTCGAAAGCATGTTATTGGTGTATTCATGGACTTAAGCAAAGCATTTGACACTCTTGATCACAAGGTACTATCAAGCAAACTTCATTATTACGGAGTAAGAGGAGTTGCTCTTGACTGGTTTAATGATTATTTGTCAGGTAGAAAGCAATATGTAAGCTACGAATCTGTAGATTCACCATTATTGCCTATGAAATGTGGTGTCCCACAAGGATCGATACTCGGTCCTTTATTGTTTCTACTGTATGTTAATGATATCTCGAACTCAACTACATCATTACAATATATTATATTTGCTGATGATACTAATGTGTTTTGCTCCAATTCCGATTTTCGATCACTTCAGAGAATTCTGAACACCGAGCTACCTAAGCTGTCTTTGTGGTTTAGGAGCAACAAATTGTCTCTGAATCTGAAAAAACTAATTATATTCATTTTCAAAGCAGGAAAAATGCAACTGATAAACCTATACCTGAAATAGTCTTGGATGGTGAATATTTGGAGAAAAAACAAAATACTAAATTTCTTGGAACTATCATCAATGAAAATCTGAAATGGAGTGATCATGTACATTACGTTTCAAAGAGAGTGTCACGCACTGTTGGTTTACTGTATAAGTTAAAACATTATGTGCCTTTGAATATTCTATATATGCTATACAATTCCTTGATTCTTCCTTACATGTCTTATTGCAATATACTGTGGGCAGACTCAAAAGTATATACTGATAAAATGCTACTTTTACAAAAGAAAGCGATTCGTGTGTGTACCAATGCTGGATATCGCGATCACACTGATGCTATTCGCGAGGTTAAAAACTCTGAAAGTAGCTGATATTAACTTTTTACAAAAAGCACTGTTCATGTTCCGTCTACATAATGATTCCCTACCTTCCCACTTCCCACCAATGTTTTGTTTGAATAGAAATATTCATACATACCCAACCAGACAATCAAATAAATACCATTTATGTAATCCTAAAACAACAATCGCTATGAAATCTATAAGACATTCTGGTCCGGATATTTGGAACTCACTGTCCGTTGACATCCGTAACTTGAAGTCAGTATATACTTTTAAGAAAAGTGTGAAATCAATTTTATTGAGCAAATATTGACAAATCTCTTAAATTAACACATGATATCATATATGTTTGTCAGCATTTCCTTGATATAGCAGGAAAATCCCCCTCCCATGCACCCTCTATCCCATTTTTTTTTTTTGGTTGCAAGTCACTGTTTATTTTTTGTTATTTTCCCCCAATTATGTTCTGTAATTTACTTTACTTTACAATCGTTATGATTTTAAATGTTTCTGGGCTGCAAGCGTATCAAGCTGTCACGCTTAGGCTGTAGCCCTTCTGTATCATCACCTCTTCGAGCGTATGTATCTATGATTTACTGAATGTGGAAATGTAATTTAACTTATGTTTTATACTCATGTAAAGACATTGTCACATTATTGTTATAACCTATGATGATTCAGTAACCAATAAATATTTCAAGGATGAGGGGGTGAATATATTTACAATCTACTGTCTCCGAGAAAAGAAGATAAACAATCGTCCAAATTATAAGGTAAACAATTAAAACACAGCTTAAAACACCACATGTAAATCATACAAAGGAATGGGATAAGCACTTTTATGTATAACCATTGAAATATACTTATTGATCGGTCAGAATTCGATGTGGTATCATGTGTTTATACATGAACTTCGAATTTGGATTCGAAAACTTTTCTGACGAGTGACATGAAGCTTTGGCTTTCGCCTTTGGAATGCTTTGCTTTGTGAAATTGATCTGGACAGGTTCATGCAAACTGTCACTATGCTGTGATGTTAACAAGATTATGAATTGCAAATATTAAAAAAATGCTTGATGGGGTCTTTATTTATTTTGTAAAATCAAACAGCAAAAATTGACCAGTTAATTTTTGTTATCATTGTCTGGACACACATCCCCTATGGTATCATGCATACATATAGGACAAAGGCAAATGAAGTGAAGCCTTATTCTCAGAAATCCCACTCATCCTCCATTATTTTGTTTTCTATTAATTTCCAGGTTTCCCAAAGCTGGTTTAGTCCTTTTGAATGAATGGCTTGTCAAGATGAGGAGGGCCAAGTGGACTCCAAGCCAGGAGTCCACCGTGTGCTCGAACCACTTTGAAGCAGAGTGTTTAGGCGCATTGGCCAGAGAACCAGAAGTCGCCGAGGTGCTATTCCAAACATTATCTTCTTCCTTGATCATCTGAATTATGCTGTATATATTGGCATATTCATGAGAAGGGAACAGAACATGACAAAAAAAAGTCTTCTATGAATACCAAGTAGTTTGCAGGTTTATGTTGTACATAAATGAACATCTTTGTTTATATTTGAAGATCTATCTGGAATATAAAAACATGTATCCTCAGTTACTACACAAATGCCAATATAATTGCTGTTTCATTAAAGCACAATGATTAATGAAATCTGTGAATTTTAGGAGAATTAACCATTTCTTTTTCCAAACTATTTTCATCTTTGTCCCTTGTAGCCTGTTGAGAAATGCAAGCCTCCAAAGCCTAGAAGCAGTGAAGACAAAACTAGACTTCCTAGCACATCAACAACTCCATCACTCATCATGGCTGGTACATTTAACAATACATTTTTACATATTTATTCGTTTGCATTTATTGTCTACTCAATGTGAGAGAAACAAAATTATATTTTATTCCATGTCTGACACTTTGATAAATTATCATGTTAAGGAATTCATTTGTGTTGTGATTTTCCTTTTTCCAGCTGTATGAAAACCTGAAAGTAGAACTATACCATATTTGAATTCAACTGTTTTGTTTAGTTTTCCCATTCTCAATCATGATGACAATTTACCTGTATTGTACTGGAATTATGATGTATATAGACATTACCGTTTAGATCTCGAATACTGTTTGAAAAAGGACAACATTTTTTATAATTATTGCATGTGATATTCAATTTATTCAACATTTGTTTATAGTAACTATAAAGAGGGCTTAAGTCAGATGAACTGCATGCATTTTTTGTTGTTGTTTAGTTTGGGATTTCTGAATTCCAAAATGATATATGAAATTGTGTAAACAATCAGAGAATCAATATCATTTTTTTCTTCATTTTTTAGTATTGTGGCGAAATAGGGGGGGGGGGGGTTAATAAGATGATGATGAAAAGAAAGAAGAGATAAGATAAGAGGAAGGAAGAACAGAAGGGTTTTAAAAAGGAAGAGGGGTGGGTGATGTAATTCCATATGAGAGAAAGAGGGTGGATTTTGCCTTTTACTTTGCCACCAAAATCAAGTAAACTATCTCAACATATAGTAAGCTGCCACCATCTAGTCTTTATTAAGAGCGCTAGATTCTCTTCTCTTTACAACTGTATATTGTTGTAAAGAGATAAATACCAGACCTGCTGGATCACACAACAAACGATAATTAAATGGCTTAATTATTCACCAATCACAGCCTTCTCATTGGCTCATACGTGCCTCTTTAAATCAACACAACGCACTCAAGGGTCAACCTTTGACCTGAACCCTGGGCTCTCGTAAACTTTCGCGCCTATTCAACTCATGCCACGAGCAGACTGGCTCATCTTCACACCGTTCATCACCACAAATAGCACATACGATTTCTTCATTTAGGTGAGTTAAATCATCATCATTCGAACTGAATTATTCTCTATCAGTGTTCTCTGTAGGCATGATTTAATCCTAATATCTGTATCAAACTCGTTCAACTCGAATTCTCTAAAGATCTGTACAACACACAGCACTGCAAACATGCGACAGGCACACACGTTCTCCTGTACACGCACACAGACATACACATTATTCGCACTTGTAACTTGGGGCACTTTCTCTCACGTCCTCTATCACAATCCTCCCATAAGGTAGCGAGCAATCTAAAGGCACAATGATATGGATACGTGTCTGAATAAAACCAGACAATGATTTCGTTCTTCAAGTTCTCAATCGCGCTATCTAAAGAAGATGTAAAAGTACCAATCACCATTCACACTTAACTACTGTAACTAATGTGTAACCAGACATGTTTTACTGTAAGAATGAATCTGTCAGCCTAATTGTTCAGGTGAACAAATAACAAGTTACACTTCATTAATAAATTTCAATTAACAGTTAGGCTTTCATGCCTAATTCAACGTCGACGTAATTCAACTCGAAAATGTATGCAATTCAATTACTAAGTATAAGAGTTCAAATGTACATTATATACAGATGTTTACGGTACACCATGTGTAAAGTCCTAGAAGGACTAAGGAAAGTGGATAGAAATAGAAGTGAAATGGAAAGGTGAGAAAGTGGAGGTTGGAAGGAAGAGTATCTTTCGGAAGTGAGTATAGTCCTGAAAAGGACTGTAAACCAGAAAGTTGTAGACAGGATGAGAGGTTTGAGTAGAAGACTGGATTGAATTGGAGAGTGGAGTAGATGAGAGAAGCTGGCTTGAGTCGGCGAGTAGAGTTGCAGAGCAGGAGCAGGAGAGTAGACTCGACGTTTCGGACAGATTGACTGTCCGTCTTCACTCCTGAAGACGGACAGTTCCAAGTTCAAGTCCAAATGCTGAACTGCCTTTCTTCTTATTGCCTATAGCATAATCAACATATAGTATTCGTAATCACCGATCAACGGGAGTTTTCCTCACGGGTCTATCCACCCCTAATCTCGACATGGTAGCTCACTCTGTCGGCATAACCATGCGATTTTTAATCCTTAGGTCTTTACAACAAGTTATAGCCTCGAATTTCTAATTCCTATACCTATCGCTAACTTCCAGAATTAACTAATCAGTTTTAAACGTACTTCAATCTTAAGACAACCAGTTTGTCTAGGGATTCATCCCTTGCTGTCTGTAAATTCAGTGCTAAACTTACACTTAACCGTCCACTATCGATAATTGTCACAACTTGTTATTAACTGTAATAAACTCTAAGTAATTTATATTCAATGTTTCTAACCGTACACATTCCAAGGTCAGAGAGAGAGAGAGAGAGAGAGTGTGTGATTCACAACATATTTAGAGTAACTACTTACATATAGGAGCAAAGGCATTGTCAAATTCACAGCTATAATACTAGACAGGCTTCTGCTCTCCATTTACCAGATGCAAGAACAACATTCACTCTGAATACTCTAATGTCCACTGGCCCCAGGTTCTGGAATTCACTTGATACTACTATAACAAATGCTTAATTGTATGTCGATGACACATGAATGTGTTATCAAGCTTTATTTTTGTGTGGACTGTAGCATATTTAACTCTACTCTCGATCTATTTTTCGTTATTCCTTGATTTGACATAACCCCTTTATCCAGGCGCGGATCCAGGATTTTCCAATAGGGGGGGCCGGAAATTTGGAAATTGCGCCGACCGTTTTTTCAAGGTCATATTAGAAGCACCATACCGGTACAATTTTTGACATTTTCATCGGGGGGGGGGGGGGGTGCTATAGCGCTTATCCGAAAAAGTAATTTTCTGGTTTCACAATTCGGCTAGTGAGCGAAGCGAGCGAGCAACAATTTGAGCATAATATGTATTTTGTGAAAGTGTTATTTATCACCAAAATAAACGAGAAAAGATATAAAAAAAAACTCAAATTCGGGTAGCTCGCTGTCCCCTCCCCCTCTCCCCCTCCCCCTCCCCCCCCATTACGCGCGAATCGCGGAAGCTTTGACCTTTCATTAATTATTAGAGAAAGAAGACGATTTGTTGTACCATTCTCGACTCGTATTCCTTGTCTAAATTCAGTTTTCCCCCTCACGCGCAAAGCGCGGAAGCTTTGACCATTTATAGTTTAATGAAATTATTAGAGAAAGAAGATGATTCGTTGTTCCATTCTCGACTCTTAATCCTTCTCTGAATTCAGTTTTCTCCCTCCCGCGCAAAACGCAGAAGCTTAACGTTTAATTAAATTATTAGAGAAAGAAGACGATTCGTTGTATTAAACATTCTCGACTCTTAATCCTTGTTTGAATGCAGTTTCCCCCGTCTCGCGCGAAGCGTGGAAGCTTTGACCTTGCATTAAATTATTAGAGAAAGAAGACAATTCATTGTACCATTCTCGACTCTTAATCCTTGTCTGTGTTCAGTTGCCTCCCGCCCGCGCGAAGCGCGGAACCTTTGCCCTTTCATTAATTATTAGAGAAAGAATTGTTGCACCATTCTCGACTCTTATTACTTGACTGAATTCACCCCCCCCTCCCGCGCGAAGCACGGAAGCTTCGACGTTTCATTAAATTATTAGAGAAAGAAGCCGATTCGTTGAACCGTTCTCGACTCTTAATCCTTGTTTGTATTCAGTTTCCTCCCGCCCGCGCGAAGCGCGGAAGCTTTGCCCTTTCATTTATTATTAAAGAAGAAGATTTGTTGTACCATTCTCGACTCTTATTACTTGACTGAATTCACCCCCTCCCCTCCCGCGCGAAGCACGGAAGCTTTGGCCTTTCATAGTTTAATGAAAGAAGATGATTCGTTGTACCGTCATCCACTCTTTATCCTTGTCTGAATTGAGTCCCCCCCCCCCTCCTGCGCGTCATGCGCGGAAGCTTTGACGTTTCATTGAATTATTAGAGAAAAAAGACGATTCGTTGTACCGTTCTCGACTCTCAATCCTTGTCTGAATTGAGTTCCCTCCCGCCCCCTCCCGCGCGAAGCGCGGAAGCTTTGACGTTTCATTAAATTATAAGGGAAAGGAGACGATTCTTTGTACCATTCTCGACTCTTAATCCTTGTCTGAATTAAGTTTTCTTTGCCCGCGCGTAGCGCGTAAGCTTTGACGGTTCATTACATTATTAGAGGAAGTAGACGAATCGTTTTACCATTCTCGTCTCTTAATCCTTGTTTGAATTCAGTTTTCCCCCTCCCACGCGAAGCGCGGAAACGTTGATGTTTCATTAAATAATTAGAGAAAGAAGATGATTCGTTGTACCGTCATCGACTCTTTATCCTTGTCTGAATTGAGTTCACCCCTCGCGCGAAGCGCGGAAGCTTTGACGTTTCATTAAATTATAAGGGAAAGGAGACGATTCTTTGTACCATTCTCGACTCTTAATCCTTGTCTGAATTAAGTTTTCTTTGCCCGCGCGTAGCGCGTAAGCTTTGACGGTTCATTACATTATTAGAGGAAGTAGACGAATCGTTTTACCATTCTCGTCTCTTAATCCTTGTTTGAATTCAGTTTTCCCCCTCCCACGCGAAGCGCGGAAACGTTGATGTTTCATTAAATAATTAGAGAAAGAAGATGATTCGTTGTACCGTCATCGACTCTTTATCCTTGTCTGAATTGAGTTCACCCCTCGCGCGAAGCGCGGAAGCTTTGACGTTTCATTAAATTATTAGAGAAAGAAGACGATTCGTTGTACCGTTCTCGACTCTTAATCCTTGTCTGAATTGAGTTCCCGCCTCCCCCCCCCCTCTCCCGCGCGAAGCGCGGAAGCTTTGACGTTTCATTTAATTATAAGGGAAAGGAGACGATTCTTTGTACCATTCTCGACTCTTAATCATTGTCTGAATTGAGTTCCCGGCCCCTGCTCTTTTTTCGTCATCTTGTCATCTCGTCATGTCATCTTACTGCCCCTACCGCCCCTGGCTACGCG